GAGTGAGTGCGATGGCCTCACTTTGTGGTACGGTCGTTAGTACGACTGCACAAAACCTTAGCGTGACAAACGATTACACTTCGGAGCAAATTTCCGGCGGCTGTGAGGAACACAGGCTGCGCCGAAGGTCCACCGCTCGAGTAAGTCTAGTGGACCAAGACAAAGCTGAATCCCTAGCAGGGAACATCTAGAAGAGAAACAATCGATCGCTCAGGTTAAGCGAAACGATAATCCTAGATCGACTGGAGAGTCTTTCGTAGAGGATCTCGCTGTGGGTGCGCAACCCCAGCTAGAGAAAACAAAGGGAATAAGTCCCAAGATTACAAATACGGCGGAAATACGTTCCCCGAAACCCGAGGGAATAAGTCCCCGGGAAGCCGAAGGAATAAGTCCTTCGAGGCCTGAGGGAATAACTCCCCAGGAAATGACAGAGACATTGAATGTCCTATTCAATAACGGATCAAGTGTAGGCGCTTATACACTTGATCTGATTGCGCCTCCGAAGTTGACTTCGGAGATCACTCAGTTGCCAACGCTCGAACTTAAAAGGTTCTTGCGTGATCTGCGTAGTGGCAAAGTCAAGCAGATCTGCGTACTCGTCGCTGACGACGAGTGCGTAGCCGACATAAGGTCAGCAACAATGTTTACTGAGAACGAGAGAGTTCTAAGTAGTTCATCTATGGACGAGAGTGTCCTAGATGAAAAGACACGAGTTGAGCGATATGACTCCCAATCGTGGGAATCGCTCAAGACAGATCCTCTCTAGGAAGATTTGGTTGAATTCAAGTATGTATTCCCTGAAACTGTTCCGTGCGAATTACCGAAGGATAAAGGTATTCGACACGAGGTCGAGCTTCAACCAGGCTCGAAGTACTGTGTCATGAAGCAGTGGCCACTGCCTCGTGAACAAGTACTTGCGATCGACAAGTTCTTTGCCGATCGTTTAGCTGCGGGCCATGTGAGGGAATCAACTTCCCCACATAGCTCTCCGACCTTCTGTGTGAGAAAAGCAACAAGAGGGTGGGGGATAGTGCATGCATTTAACAAGTTGAATGCTGCAACGGTACCGGCTCGGACGCTGATACCGAGGAAGGACGTAATCATTGATGGTATGTCAAAGAGTACCATATTTTCGTTTATGAATTTGATGGATGGCTTCTATCAAATCCTTATGCGAGAACGGGATATACCCTATACCGCAGTTAGCACGTCTAGCGGCATGCTCTGGGAATGGCTAGTAATGCCACAAGGGCTTAGTAATGCCCCTGCCACGTTCAACAGATGTGCATCACATCTGTCGAGACCAGTACGAGAATTCGCGCCGAGTTATATTGATGACGTATTCATCCATAGTCGGGATATGAATGGAAATTCGGATGTTGAGCTTCACAGGTACCACGTCCGACAGGTTCTTAAAACCGTGCGAAAGCATCAATTTTATGCCAACCTCAAGAAGTGTATATTTGCAGCAAGCGAAATACCACTTCTTGGGTGCATCGTTGGTAAGAACGGTATACGTCTTGATCCCGAAAAGATCAAGGCGATCACCGACTGGCTTGTGCCGGTTGATGTCAAAGGTCTTCGAAAATTCCTTGGGCTAGCAGCATATTTGCATAAGCTTTCACGCAATTACGCCGCGATGAATGTACACCTCTCTCGTTTGTTGAAAAAGAGCGAGAGGTGGTTATGGAACGCTGAATGTCAGTGCTCCTTTGATGGTATCAAGCAGAGCTTGATACAATCCCCAGTCCTAGCAATTGCCGATCAGGACAGGCCATTTTATGTGGTCTGTGATACCAGCGATTTCGCAATCGGATGTGCATTAATGCAGTACGATCTTGAAGGCGTTGAACGCGTCGTGTGCTATCAGTCGCGTCAGCTGCAACCAGCTGAGCGGAATTATCCAGTGCATGACAAGGAACTTCTTGCCATGAAGTATGCACTCGCGAAGTTCAGAGTCTATCTATTAGGAGATAGACCCTTCATTGTTTACACTGACCATGCGTCATTACGAAAGGCAGTGAACAGCCCGCACCTTTCACAACGAATGGCGCGGTGGTTGTCATTCTTTGCAGAATACAACTTTACGGTCGAGTACAAACCAGGACGACTTAATGTCGTCGCTGATGCACTCTCACGTCGTCCCGACTTTGATCCAGTCGCGAAAGCCAACAGTGAGACAGCCACTGTTGCGGTTATGACCTCCACAAAACCATTTTCAACGTTGTATGATGATGTGAGGCGAGCGTATGCCCAAGATGGTAAGATTGTGAAGTTGTTGACACATCTCTTACAACCATCTCGAGAATCGTTGAAACGATTATCGTCTGCGTATCGATCTGCATCAGACCGATACACTACTCGCAACGATTTACTGTATTATATAGTCGCTACTGGTGACAAATCACGTGTTGTCATTCCAGATGATACTGATCTGCGTTTGCGGATCATGTTCGAGTATCACGATGCTCCTATAGGAGGACATCGTGGCCGGGAGAAAACATACCTCACGGTGAGTCGAGCCTTTTACTGCCCCACCAGTATCAGTTTGTGCGAAAGTATGTTCGCGCATGCGAAGTCTGTCAACGAGTGAAGTCAAGTCCTTCGCTGCGTGGACCTTTACAGCCTCTACCGGTTCCGTCTGAGTGCTGGGGATCCATCTCAATGGATTTCGTCTTTGGGTTACCCAAAGACGCACGCAAGAAAACGGGTATTCTTGTATTTGTTGACAGATTCAGCAAAATGGTACACGTTGTGGCTGTACCAAAGTCAATCACGACAAGTGGCTGTGCTTGTGTCTTTATTGACACCATCTTCCGACTTCATGGGTTGCCCCGTGAATTCGTATCAGACAGAGATCCACAATTCGCTGCTTATTTCTGGCGTTCCGTGTTCAAATTACTCGGAACGCGCTTGAAGATGTCGACGCATCCGATCATCCAGAGTCAGATGGTCAGACGGAACGTGCCAATCGTGTCCTTGAAGAGATACTTCGAGGATACGTACACTTCTTTAAGAGTTGGAGTGAGTTTTTACCAATGGTAGAGTTTGCCATTAACAACTCGGTGCATGCGTCCACGACACATACACCGTTTTACGTGAATGGCTTACGCCATCCGCGTGTACCCACCTTACTAGAGTGTAACTCTGGTTTAAGGGGGGGGAGGGACTCGCGCGAGCTAAAAACCGATTTGGTTCACGCTCATCACGCTCTGACGATGAGGTCATTGCATTTGATGCCGATATCGATAACAACGATGTCGAAGAAGATGATGCCAGTGAGAGTGCGGAAGCCCTCACTGAAGAAAAGGTTGATGTTGCTGCAGTGAACTCACAGCGCACTGAAGCTAACGAGTCATCAGATGAGATAATACTGGCTCGTGAAATGGTAGTCCGTTTTGTGCAAGATTCCATCGCCGAAGCGGTGGATAAGCAAAATCAAAACGCTGACAAGAATGGAAGGGCAAAAACTCTTTTGTTTAATGAAGGCGACTTAGTCCTACTGTCTACGGTTAATTTACCAAAGCATGTAGTGACTAACTTGGGTAGCAGTAAACTACTACCCAAGTACATCGGCCCATTTCGTGTATTGCACCGCCTAGGCAATGCATACACGATCGAGTTACCACGTAAGATGCGAACGCATCCCACGTTTGACGTTGGTCGGCTTAAGCCGTACCATCAGTACGCTGCTTCTTTCGATGAAGAACGCCCTTGCGTTCAAGCATCTCGCAGAGAGCCTTGTGCTCCCGATGGTGGATATCAACAAGGGTCTAAAGATCAGTTATCTCAGCCCGAGGCCGATCAACATGCCCACGAGCTACCCTTAGCTCGTCACGCAGAGACTTCAGAGCTCTCTCGTTCTCAAGCTGAGCAAAGGCAAACTCAGCTCGATGCCTCAAGACAGTGTCCGCCATTTGGAGATGCCTATTCCGCTCATGTTCGAGATCGCCGCGTAACCCTTGCGTTACGCAATCAAAGAAGCTCTAGGGAACACACGGATCCCCACGATTGTGTGGAGAGCGTCTTCCCTCCTCCTCCACCTCCATTAGAGGGCTCTCGCGGTGGCCAGCGCTATCTAATTGAGCAGCTGTTGAACCACCGCGACGTGAACGGACGTCGGACGAGTTATCTTGTCCGGTGGCGCGGCTATCCTCCGTCCTGGGATACTTGGGAGCCCCGCTCCCAACTGATGGTTGACGAACTGGGTCTGGTCGAGCAGTACGACGCGGCACATCCTGTGCCGCAGAAGGACCGCTGGAGAAAGTCTTCCCGGCACGGTTGTAAAGGGATTTCAGGTTGTCAATCCCTTCGTACATCTCACTAGAGATAAGTGCGCGCCACCACGGGCTATTAGGGAGGTAAGCCTCCTTAGGTGCTCGTGCAGAGTTGTTCACACAACATGGGCACGAGTCTCCCCAGGAGAGGCAGGGTAATACTTTCTCCCTTAACAGACGATGCAGCTTGTAGCGTGCACCTGTCGGGGTTCGCTTTTCAAGCTTATCACGAGCTTTGATAAGTTTGTCGTTCCAAACGTCACGACCTATATCCTCAAGATTATGGATGTAGGCGTTCCACGCTTGAAGTAGTGAGGGAACATCACGTTTTTGATTCCCACTGTACCATCGATGTTTAAAGAAAGCATCGATGAAAAATTCATTCTCAGCGCGATAGTTTTTCGCACCGGGGTCAAGGTGATGGATCCTTGACGAATCGAACAACCGTGTTCGATAACGATTACTCGTCGTCGCCGACAAGTGATCCATGACGGATTTAGGAGGCATCCATGCCTTCTTCTCGGGAGCGAGACGCAAAACACTGCGGTCCCGCTCTTCTTGCGACGTGCCGACAGAAGTACTGGCACCTTGTTGCGAAGTGGTGTCAATAGGAGAACCGACACCACTGTGAGCGCCCGAGTCTTGTGACTTCGAGCGCCTTCGCTTCGCGTTGATTCATCTGATTCATTAGATGAACCAAAAATGCTGCGACGCATAGCATCATCAATGCCACGCCTGGGTAGGCGGCTTGAATTCGATCGCCGTCGATACGGATCCGTCTTCCGTATCAGGAGAGTATGAGACACTGAGCTCATACTTTGTGAAGACATGAGTGCCTTCATGACCAGCGCCTGCATCACCAGAAGACACAGGCTGAGTCGCTTCAGCAACAAATGAGACATTAGTTGCTGTGGTTTCTGCTTCGGCGTCCGCACAGAGACTTGCGGACGCGCTCTCGGCGGCCTTGCTCGCGCACCGCATGGGCTTGTTAACCATGCGATGAACTGTTGGAAAGTGGACTCGGACCAACAAGTGTAAACCCCGTCCCAAATGATTTGGGACGAGTATCCATTTAGTCAATCAGTCACTAAAGTGACTGATGGTTACGGGGGGTGATGTAACGGGGTGAATCGTTACGTAACAATTTAATAAGAAATTGTTAATAGAATATAACTGTAAGAGTTAAATTCTCGGAATATTGTCATAAGGACAAATGTTCTGTAGCACTTACGAGTAGTTCCTAATTGGTTGATGTAGGCCATTATATCAACCAACGAAGACGCGCCACGACAGACGCACGCAATGAGTGGTGAGCAGATAACTGATTTACACATTTGTATTCAAACATAGTTAGATGAGGATAAATAGTGATTTATTAACAGACATTAACTATGATAAATACAGTTCTACTCATTACTTAAGCTAAGTACTCGCTTCTTCTGTCTTCCTCTGCACGTACGAGTGTACGTGAAGTTCCAAGGCACCGCCTTATTCTGTCATATAAGTAGCTTATACTGTCACCAGTACAAGCTTCAGGGTGCCCCGTTGCACACCACCAACAACAGTAGCAACAATCGACCACAGTATTGATCCCAACAGCAGCAGCAGTGCACAATCGACAACAACAACAACTGTAGTAGCCCCAGCAACAGCAACAGCAGCACCAACAATAGTAGAAACATCAGTACCAACAAAAGAAGCAGCGGCAACAGCAACAGCGGCATCACCAACAGTAAAACATCAGTACCAACAACAGAAGCAGCGGCAACAGCAACAATTAGCATCAGTAAAAAAAGAAAAAACAACAACAACAGCAGCAACAACATCAACACAGGCAGCGACATAAGCAACGAAAAGAACGTAACCAGCTTACAGCATTACCAACAACATGTGGAGCAACAGTAGCATCAGTAGAAACAACGGCAGCGGCAACAGAAACAACAAAAAATCATACGATAGTTGCGAGCACGAAGGGTGAAGCTATTAGTAGCAAGTAAGTTGAGAACCGAACTATGTTATCGTACTTATCTGTGCACAAGTTTATCTGTGTTGTATGTCTGTCTGTTAACGACGTGGCAAGGTGTAGCTTACTCGTACTAAGTGCAATCTAGCCTGTCTCCCCTTATACATACATATGTGTATCCGAAGTCACTCTTCGGCTAGGTCACTATTGTGACGCACGCTTGTGATTGGCTTAAATCGATCGAATGTATATGTGATCATATTAACGAGTGCTCGAAGTTCATAGGCAAAGGCTGATCACGTTGAACTGGCATATTGTACTGGCTTACTACATACATTAAGAGCGTCTGCTCATTCTTCAGTGACTGTTGTAGTCTTGTGTTTTGCGACCGGATTCAGTTCTCCAAAGGAATTACTTGTATCATAGAGAGAGATCGAGGGCTTGCTCCCATATCTTAACATTAGCAGCAGCAACAACAGCAACACAACAACATTTAACTGCAACAACATCAGCATCGACTGTCAAGTTTACAACCGCGAATAAGATTGATGGCGCATGTCACTTCTTTTCTTCGTCTCCTGCGCCTGCAACTAGGTAGCGCAGTACGCCCGCGGCAGAACCCCCTCAGCCTCGCTTTCGAGACTGCCCCTTCTAGGGGGGGGGTCGAGAAGTACCATAGATTTTAGTAGCGGAAAACGCTTAAATATGTGGGGAATTACGTAGACAGATTAACATGAGCATGTCAAGACATGGGTTACTTTTTTCTTCTGATTATTTAGGATTTTATTGGTCCGGGGCATTAGTTTTCGTTGTTAGATAGTACCTTTTCCTGATGAATGGGCCATTTTTATTGATTTTCCATTCATTATGTGGTGAAAGGTCTAGGTGGTCTAAAGTTGGGATGAAGCTAGAGAATGTTGGATTTCAGAAAATTCTGAATAGAATAAGAATTAGCAAATCTCTAATTTACTCAAAAGATTCGTAAATGTAATATCTAGACATCCTGCCGTCTCAGTTTGTTTAAATTGAGCACTCTGAGACCGGGTACTTTTAATCGCCAGTATGGTAAGCTGTATGGGCACTTCTCTCACTCATGTAACCAGCACCCGGCACATCTGTCAGCATATCAGATCTTCTACCATCTTGCCACTATGTCGTGATTATCATGATGTCCTTAACAGGTCGCCACATCCCTTCCGATTCAAAACTTCTCGAACCAAGTGCTGCTGTTTCGATCGACCTGGTGTTCGAGGTATAAGACGCTGACCGTACTCGTCGTTTATTGTTGGGACTCATCTGAGCCTTGTACAACCAATTGATGTACCTTCAAATGTTTTGTCTTTCGTTCACACACACTGTGACTTTCTGTTGACCTGATCCTAAATATCTGATACTGTACAACTAATTGACGTACTTTCAAATGTTTATTCTTCCGTTGATCCACACTGTGGCTATCTTTTGACCTGATCCTAAACAGCCCGGTAGAGAAGAGAGCGCAAACATTGCAATGGATCGCATGGATGCCGCACGACCGTGGTGTTGGGCCAGTACTTTTACAGATGTCCACAATATGAATTGACGTAGCAGCTTTCGAAGACCCGATGGTTCTAACGGCTACACACACAAATTGCATAATTTTGAACAGGTGCGCAGTTTACATTCCGATCAACCTCTTCGCATGATATGCTTGTACAACTTCTGCGCAAGCTTTGGCCCCTTCGACAACGACAATCAACAGGTTGCTTGAGTCAAAAATCTTCTCTGGCAAGTCAACCTCATAATCATTCTAAAGAAAAATAAACAAGGATCCATTGTAAGACAAAAGCACAACAGTATCATCAAATATACCGAACTCGTACCTCGAAGTAAAAGACAAGCGAATTATCCAGACCGTCCCGTTCGCCAATCTTCGCGAGCGACGTTAGTGGCCGCCACTCTTCAACAAGCGCAAATCCTTCTTGCGTTGCCGCCATCACATCCAGAACGACAAGCAATGATGGAGTGACAACCAACTCCCGGTGACCCAATCGAATCAGCTGTCGAAGAGACTGCCCCCCCTGCTCTTCAAATTTAGTAACATGATAAAAGCGAAAGTCTTTGTGAACAGCATTCAACGAAGACTTCCAGTTCGCCAAGTTCACGGATCGCGATTCAGGTAGTGTCATTTCGCACATTTTGTTGTCTTCGTAATTTTGCAGTTCGTCAGCGTCACCACCATCCATGTTGTTCAACGGTACCTCATCTATTTGAACCTCGACCTCAGGATTGCTCGAAAAGTGCGGACTCGATTTCAGCCGGAGAGCTGCGGCTACCGCTTTGTCTAGAATAGTGCCTCCAGCCCGCGCTGTTGCCCGTCGCGGTGCTCGTTCTACCGAGCGCCGTTTAATCTCACCACTGTCTGCAGGTTGTCGAGTACCCGATGTCCTTTCACTTTCAATATTAAACCCGCTGCTCACAAAACTTGTGATACCAAGAAGTGTGCGGCAGCTTTTGCTAAACTCGCTGTATGGACCCCACCTGTTGTCTTCTGTGCCGCTGCGAATACGAAAGACGTACAGCGTATTTGGCTGCAAGTTTGTGACTGAGTGTTCGACTGTTTCGGCACTAATGTCAGCGTTAACTGTACACCACTTGGCAGCCAACCGATCCTTCACGTACTGGATCTGATACTTGGTCACCTCTACGTCATTTGTCATCTCCCACGTAACTGTGACTTCTGAGCTTGACACGGGATGCACGTGCAATTTAAGAGGCGCAGCAGGAGAATAGGAAGATGAAGCAGCATTGACGATGCTGCTGCTACTGACTGTAGAAGACATCTCCGAGCTGGTTGCCGCGCTGGTTGTGATGGAACGATCGTCGACACGTCCGTTGCTGGATTGGAAATGTACGTGCGACCTGACGAATGAGTGAGCGACAGAATTGATTGGTTCTCGCAGCGACGGTCCAGCTCTTTTAGTACTAGACCCAGGAAGCCGTTGAAGAACCACCCCGCCCTTAGGCGTGTTTGTAAAAGACCACACACCGTCACCGTCACCATTCGCATTCCTATGACCAGAACGGAATGACGACATCGGGCCGTTACCATCGTCGATTCGTTTGTCTTGCTCTCCATTGTTACTGCTACCGTCAGTGGAAAGGCGGACAAAAATTTGATTCGTGCCAGAGCTCGTAAGCCTTTCAGCATCCCGAATGACCTGGCCCCTCTCCAGTACGATGTCCACGTTTTTAGCTCTGCAATCCGAATGGCGGCTTGCTTGCGACGTCAGAGGGTTGCGACAGAATGATCGACCTTGCTCAGCAACTTCAGGACAGACACCGGGATGAAAAATCGCGGAAGCTTGATTATCACGATCCGCGAGTATTGGCGTAACAGAAACAGATGCGGAATCGGGCTTGCTTGCTGTCTCAACATCCATCGTTCTCATAGAATCACTCGATGGACTGAACGGCCCCCACCGATGATTCGATCCACAGCGCACGCGAAAAACTAGCGAATCACCAGGGTCAAGACCAGCCATTGTACCGCTCGTCTGGTCGGTGACACCATTCGCATCCACATGGGCAGGTGCGTCCCCCACCTCGATTACGACTGGAAGCCAAGGACTAGTACCATCGCCGGATGGCTTTGCAAATTGGAGTTGATACAGCGGTACCGCAGCCGATGCCACTGGGGCCCGCATCTTGTCCCACGTGATATAGAGTGTGTGCCTTGTCGCACTAACCAGTGTCGGTGCCAACGGCAAAGTTGTACGTGGATCGGGTCCGACCGTATTCTTATCCACACAAACCGGGGTAAAAAAGCGCAACATCACGGGTCGTGATGCTTCAATAATGAGCTTGATAACGCTCAAAAATGTTTTCCCCTTCGTGCTATCTCCGTTGATAGCAACTAGCCAATCTCCGGCATTGACTAGACCAGTTGCAGATGCCTGACTGCCTGGTACTAAGCTATCGACGGCAGCATGATATACCTTCGACGTACAAGATTTTCGGAATGAAATCCCGATAGGACCAGGCTGAATCTCGACATCGGAAGTCATACCAGCAATTTCAGCTGCTTTAGAACGCGCCCCCACCCGATCATACAATCCGATGCGTTTTGACTTGACTACTGTAGAAGTACTGGTCCGAGTAATCGAGCGTGGAGTCGATGATACTGCATCCTTAGCTGCTGCTTTTAATAGCATGATACGTTGCGACAATGTCGGTACAGCAGAGCTTGACGCAGTTGTTGCCCTTTTCTTCTTCTTTCTCGTCGCTACGCTGTTGTGACCGCTTTCTGAAGATGATACAAAAGACTTGTTCATTCTGGCGATCTGTCCTGAGTCGACGCTGGCCCGACTGCTGTTTCCGCCTGGTACACTGGCGATCAGTCCTGAGTCGACGCTGGCCCGACTGCTGATTCCGCCTGGTTTAGTAGCACTCGATTCATCATCGGATGCTGTAAGCGATCGAATTAGCCCCAATTTAGCGAACAAGCTCAAACCTGCTGGAGAAGTCCCAGTCGAATCAGGAACCACTGTTTTCTCGACTGTCAGTGCAGGAAGCATAGACGACACCAGGAACTGCTCCTGTGCGTGCGTATCCATGCTTCGAATGCTCCTTTCTAACTCATCAAAACCACCGGCGAGCCCGCTTACGTACTTGAAACCATTTTGCAAAAACACCTGCACAAGTCGTGTTACCGACAGATGCTCTGCATGTACCTTAGATAGCTCATTGTTGGCAATGTCGCTGGCTGACGTGACAGAGTTGGACACAGGACTCTGCTTGCACGATAGCGTTACAGGCTCGGTCGACGGTACCGTTGTATTTCCAGCAACCTTCTCTCGTTCACCAACTTCGACCCGCCTCTGAAGGGGATCTTGCACCGTCAGGGATTGCACGTTGTCATTTGAAATAACTCTCGCCAGACGCACAGCTGTATTCAGAGCTGCATTTTTAGACGAGGATCGTGTCAAGAAGGACGGCGAATCGATAGAGGGGCCGACAAAGCAAAAATGGGAGCCTTTCATGCGGGCAAAACCCTTCACCAACCCATCAAGCGCATCTGGTTGTCCCATAATACTTGGGTCCACGTGATGGGAGAAAATTAAATGGGATTTGTGATACTCCTCTGCTGGACGACAGTCCAGCACAACAAACCTCAGCGCTGTTGACCCATTTTCATCATCGCTTTCGGAAACGTAGAGCAACGGCGCCCGGCCGCTCAGTGGAGATAGCAACGGATCAAGCAAACCTTGAGCACCTTTGAAAACTTCTTGCGCAGCTAAAGCAGCTGATTTCGCCGCTGCCGTGTGCTTTTTTCTGCCTTTTGTTTTCATACTATGACGCAAATTACGAACGAGTTCCTCCGGGTATACCCGTAAACTAGAACAGGCATAGATCTGATCCAGAAACGGCACCATGGCATTCGTAAAGCCACCATAGCAGATCGAGTACAAGTCACGGTTAAACGAGTGCGGGGTTGCTTTCAATATTGCCCGCGCACTGGCATAAATTCGTTCCAACTCGTGGTGCGAAGAGAACGTCAGCGAGCTTAGCACCTGTGGGAGCATGGCAAACTCTGCTTCAAAAATCTTCTCACGATTTGCTGCTACCAGTGCGTACGCGACAAAGTGCAGCATGTACGGGCCTGCTTCAAGCAAGAAAAGATCCCACAGACAAAACACAAGATCGGGTGGTAACGACCGAGCAAAAAACGTCATGAACCACGGGGTCACGTAAAGTTCCGGTGTCATGTCATGCTGGTCGAGGTAATGGCATAACTCGGGGTCATGATACAGCATCAACAGTCTGTAGAGCTGTAATGAGCCCTGCAGCGACCGAAACTCTTTGTCCACAAAAACCTGAGGCAAGTATCGGTCAATAAGCGCGTAAAAGCACTGGAATACTACGCCCTCAGCCAATGGCACACGCTCGGTGCAATTTTCCCGTTGCTCGGTGAGAAGAAGGAAGGGCGCAAGTACCTCGTTCATGCCCTGTTTGTACTGAATACTGCGACACTTGCAGTAGTACGTAAGCAGCTTAACGACCAGCTCGGCCGTCTCTGGCTCTTTGAAACGAAGTTCGTTACTCCGAGTGCGTGCAGCATCCGCTGCGATAACGCGCTGATTGTCCAAGTTTTCTTGCACCTGTAAAATACTATAGTCCAGATACAAGCGCTCGCTGCGGGCCACGCCTAGCAGCTCCTTCCACACTTGAGCGCGCAGCTCCATCGGCACCCCACCGAGCGAGCGACAGGCTACCCGGATGACGAAAGGATCCGGTCGTCTCTTTTGCATTTCATCGCACAATTGACGCTCGAGTCGAGCCCTTTCAGGGTCGTCACGGCTTAAATGGAGAGCGTCGTGCTTCATGGTCGGAGTCTGGGCAGGATCACGCTCAGACGTCGACGGCTTCACGTCTTTCACCGACACATGATAACCGGACGCAGAGTCGTCAGTAGATTCGGATGGACGTGCATCGTGAGAGCGTGTGGGCGGAGCGTGGGACGATGGAAGCGCGGCGGTTGCGCTACCGGAAGCGAGTTCGCGTGACGTCGCCATGTTGAAAACTGAATACTTATGTTTCTTTCGAGGGAGTACGACACCTGTCTTTGTTTTTATAACAAAGTGCTTTTTGTGTGTGCGCGTGATGTTTGGCTAATCAAAGTGGTCACGTCGTATGACTTATTGATTCGGCAAAAGAGTAAAAAAAAAGCTGGTTAACGTTGTAACGGGGAAGCCTGTTACATGATATTGACACCAAACGGCGTTAATAGGTATATTGTCGAGCATGACAATCTCCTGCCAATATTACCCGAGATAGGCAATATTGAAGGAATATTATCCCTTAGGATAACATTTACGTGCTGCTCGAAGATTGGTTGATAAAATACCTATCAACCAAGGTTACCACCAATCGCTGCTAGACGCACGTAATGAGTGGTGAGCAGATTGTCGTCATACGACGACGTAGGTTTAATATAGTCAGATGAAGGCTGAAGTTATATCGATAGCTTGACTATATTAAATACGGTTCTCTTTTTACCCTTTTCTCAAACGATCTGTTTGAGTAGATTAGCTTTCTCTGCACGTACTAGTGTACGTAAAGTTTCGCGGCACCCCAAACAAAGGGTGCCCTGTTACACCTGGTAGCACTTTGTAGTCCGTCCGACGACTACTAAGTATCCGTCCAACATGAACATGTTGAACGTAGAAGACGACAGCTTTCACGTCACACGTGAAGGCTACTCCCATCCGAGTGACTCAGAATGGGAGGTAGTCGGCCGCATGAGTGTGCTCATGGGCGAACCCGCCATCAGTGGCATGTTGGAGTCTCTAAGCATAGACCAGTAACATGCCGCTATCAACAAGTTCCTACAAGGGGAACTTGCCGTCGAAAGACAGAAGATAGCCTTACTACAACAGCAAGGCTCTTATCAGTAGATGGGCGGGCCGACGCACATACGCCGACCCGAAACCTTGAAGAAAGATATCTCAAGGTACAAGGGAACCGATGAAGATTTCCTTTTGAGATGGTTCGTCGAGTTAGACGACGCCAACAGGGCCTGTCACATCGACAGTGACGAGATGCAAGTCACCTTCGCCCTGTCAAATTTGACAGGACGAGCAAAGACTTGGGCCTTAGGACTCAAGCTTCACGACCCAAACGTGTTTGAGTCGCTAAAGACCTTGAAGTCTCGGCCCAAAGAAACTTTTGAACCGCCAAGAGCCAAGTTCAGAGCACGCTCTGCACACCTGAGGCCCAAGCAAGGCAAGCGTGATGTGCACGCTTATGCACAACACCTGCTCTACCTTGCGAGCAGCGTCACGGAATACCCTGTTAATGAGAGCACGCTCATCAACGTGTTCATCTACGGTCTTGTAGATGGACCGGTAATGACCTACATGTTTTGAGAGGACTTCTATACGCTGGAAAAGGCGATAGCGTATGCGGAACAAGAGGACTTTAGCCTGAGACAGTCTCAGGCTAACTCATCAAACTATCTTCCGACGAGACGACAGGAAACCAGAGGTCCCGATCCAATGTACCTCTGTTATATCTAGGGATAGAACTCTTGCTCTCTGAGTCACAAGCGATCGGCTCGATGTCATCGCTGTCTGAAGATCGGACACTACGCTCATGAGTGTAGTATCCTAAGCACCTCAATACGTCCAAAGAAGGACCTGATGACCGCCATTGGACTAGAAAAGGTCCAAGGCGCGGTTCCGACCATGTCGCTAAACCGCGACAGCAATTCGGACCGCCAAAAGACGGTCAGGGACAGTAGGGGCGGCGCACCCTGCTGATCCAGCAACGTCAAGAGAATTTGCAGGACTCTTGACGAAAACTGCTCCCAAACACAGTCGCTGTGTGTTGCTAGCCCTAGTGATGAGGTGTTCCTCATCACTTTGAAGATCGAAGTGAAACGTAGAATGTCACTTCGCACCCTAGTTGACCGTGGGGCGTCGAACAGTTTAATTCGACGCCAGTCTCTAGAAGATAGTAGGCTCAACTATGTTGAGCGAGAGTTCCCTCCAACGAGGATGACGGTGTGCCTTGCTACAGGAGCATCCGTAACAGTGAACAAACGTGTAGTGGGAATCCACTACACTCTAGAAGGAAAGCATTACGATGATGAATTTTATCGCATTAGATTTGGATGACAAGTTAGATGTCATCCTCGGTCTGCCATTGCTTAGAAAACACCAACCATGGATCAGTTTGCAGCATCGATCCGTGAAGATGCCTGCAGTTTGATCATCAGATGGCCATCTGATAAACGTTTTGGAGCGTTCACAAGCGTGTGGATTGTACTTCGAGTGAGTGCGATGGCCTCACTTGTAGTACGATCATTAGTACGATTGCACAAGATCACAGTGTAGAAGGCCACTACACTGTGGAACCAGCTTCCGGCACCTGTGTAGAGACACAGGCTGCGCCGAAGGTTCATCACTCGAAAAGATCGAGTGGACTGGAACACGGATGCACACCAAGAAGGGTGCATTCGAGAAGAGAGATTAGTGTTGCTCAGGATGAACAACACGTTACAGCAAGATCGAATATCAGAGAGTCGATCGTAGAGCAAGCCCGATCGACTGAAAGAGAGTCGATCGAATAGGACGTTACTTTGGTGGTACACCCACAGTCAGTACACGTATTGGAAGAAATATACAGCGTTCCTGAGAGCAATAAGTCCCGAGAGAGTTTTGTTGAGGGTGTGTTTTCCCAACCACCTGCGGATGTGTTTTCCCGAAAAAATCACGGAATCAGTGAATGTCTTGGTGAATGACGGATTAAGTGTAGGCGCTTATACACTGATATGGTTATGCCCCCGAAGTCAGCTTTGGTGGTAGTCAAGTTGCCAACGCTAGAATCTAAAGATTCTTGCGAGATTTGCGTAGTGACAAGATCAAACAGATCTGCGTACTCGTCACAGAGGACGAGTGCGTCGCCGATATTCGGTCGGAACATGTTTGCTAATAACGAACGGGTTCTCAGTAGCTCATCTGTGGACGAGAGTGTCACTCGATAAGAAGACTCGGATTGAGCGATACATGTCTCAATCTTGGGAGTCTTTGAAGACAAATCCTTCGTATAAGGATTTGGTCGAATTCAGGGATGTTTTCCCGGAATCCGTGCCATGCGAGCTGCCCAAGGACAAAGGCACTCGGCATGAGATCAACTAAAACCCGGTTCGAAATAATTTGTCCTGAAGCAGTAGCCACTGCCTCGTAAATAGGTCACAGCGATTGACAAATTCTTTGCCGATCGCTTAGCGGCTGGTCATGTGAGGGAATTAACATCCCCACACAGATCTCCGACCTTCTGTGTGCAAAAGGCCACAGAAGGTTGGCGGATAGTGCACGCGTTCAACAAGTTGAACGCTGCAACGTTACCGGCTCCAACGCCCACACCGAGGAAGGACGTAAGCATTGATGGTACGGCAAAAAGTACCATCTTTTCGTCCATGGATCTAATGGATGGATTCTATCAGATCGTCGTGCGTGAACGGGACATCCCGTACACAGCAGTGAGCACCCCCAGTGGTGTGCTCTGAGAGTGACTAGTGATGCCACAGGGGATAAGTAACGCCCCTGAAACGTTCAACAGATGTATTACGAACCTACTGCGATTGGTGCGCGATTTTGCACCGAGTTACTTCGACAACGTCTTAGTCGATAGCCGGGATATGGATGGAAAGACGGACGTGGAGGTTCATAGAATCCACGTCCGGAAGGTCCATACACTTATGCGAGAAAATAAGTTGCTCTCGAATCTCAAGAAGTGTATATTCGCAGAGAACGAGATACCACTTCTTGGCTGCATTGTTAGTTAAACGGCGTACTCCCTGATCCGGAAAAGATCAAGGCGATATGCGACTGGCCTGTGCCAGTCGACGTCAAGGGACTTCGAAAGTTCCTTGGCTTGGCGGCGTACTTGCACAAGTACTCGAGCAACTATGCCAAGATGACCGTACATCTCTCTCGTCTGCTAAAAAATACGAGAGGTGGTCATGGAGTGCTGAGTGTCAGCACTCCTTTAAAGGTATCAAGAAGAGCTTACTACAATTGCCTGTTGGCGATTGCAGACCAAGACAGACCATTCCATGTGGTCTGTGACGCCAGTGATTGTGCAATCGGCTGCGCGTTAATGCAGTACGACTCAGACGGCGTTGAGCGCGTCGTCTGTTATCAATCGCCTCAGCTGCAAGCAGCTGAGCGTAATTACCCGGTGCATGAACAGGAGTTCATTGCCATGAAATATGCACTGGCCAAGTTTCTGGTGTATCTCTTAGAAGATAGACCCTGCATCGTTTATACCGACCATGCGTCATTACGCACGGCTGTAAACAGTCCACACCTCTCACAACGAATGGCGAGGTGGCTGTCTTTCTTCGCGGAGTAGAACTTCTCCGTCGAGTATAAACCAGAACGACTTAATGTCGTCGCTGGTGCTCGTTCGCGTCGGCCCGATTTCGAGCCGAATACTAAACCCAACAGTAGGGGTGATCCCACTGTAGCAACACTAAAAAGGAGTGTTTCGTCGTCAAACTTGCTCGACGACGTGCGGAAAGCATACACAGAAGATGAGTCGCTTTTGCGGCTGATGGATTATGTAGCCAATCCATGCAGTCAAGCTTTGAAAAGCTTGTCGTCTCAATACCTCTCCTCAACCGAACGATATTTTGTTCATGATGGACTGCTGTACTATACAGCAGCCAACGTCGACACACCTCGTGTCGTCGTTCCCGCTCATAATTATTTGCGAATGCGCATCATGTATGAGTGTCATGATGCCCCAACAAGTGGGCATCGCGGTAGAGAAAAGACATACCTCACGGTAAGTCGTGACTTCTACTGGCCTCGCCAGTATGAGCTCGTGCGCAAACACATTCGTGCTTGCGAAGTTTGTCAATGGGTGAGGCCTAGTCCTTCATCCCGCGCAACCTTGCAGCCTCTACCAATTCCGGCAGAGTGTTGTCAGTCCGTATCGATGGATTTCGTCTTCGGGTTTCCCAAAGACGTTCACAAGAATACTGGTATTTTTGTGTTTGTTGATC